AGAAGTTAAAAAATTTCTCTTAATGTATATTATGGGTTTAATAAAATCATACATACTATATTAATTATATATATAATGTTAATATTAAATATAGAATTATCTATATTATAAAGTATCACAAAATATTATAACAATATTATAACAATATTATAACATATTAGAGTGTTAAGGAACAAGATATAATTTCGATAAAAAATTTTTTCATCTAAGAACATTGTATAAATATATATGTAATTGTATGTTAAATATGTCTGTATATTTTTTCAGTATTTGTAATGAAAATTTCTACTGCAAATATCACGATTTTCTAATTAAAAGAAAAATCGCAACGAAGTACAATACGTACATATTCATACGTGAATGCATCAAGATACAGAATAATACAAAGTTTCAATACTACGAGCAATTAATGCGAAATTTATTCTTTTTATAATTCATCTTCCGAAGAATAGATTAGTTACTCTTTCGTTACACTTGTTAAAACATGGAAAAAAATATTTGCATATTCCATCTTTTCTAGGATAGTATAACAGTATGATTTTTTTCAGTCTCCTAATTTCAGAATATACATTTTAATATTTCTTTTATATTGATACATTTCATCAAATATTTTGTTCACAGCAAATTTTTTTTCTGTGTTTGCTTGAAATCGAAAAAGAGTACAAATATTTTTCTGATCTTTATATCGATAATTGCTTTTTATATATTTTCTTTTATATCAATAATTTGTATTTTTTTATACAAAAATGAATTTTTTCTATGTAATAATATACGAAAATTACCTTCCTTCTTTTAAATATAAGTTTTCGAAATTTTCAGGACATTCGATTGACTACGCGAAATCTTTGTAATTATTTTTCTAATTAAATATTAGTTATAGTATAGCCTAAAGTATCGAAATAGTATATAAATCTAGTACAATGAGAGAAAAATATTCGGAAGAATTTTTCTGTCCAATGAATAACATTATAACTGCATTTGTGGGATGCATTTTGTAATAACATTCAGCATCTTTACTTACAATTTTCAAAGATATGTGCAAACGTTGTAACACCAATACATAGTTGTATTTGTTCAGTTCTTTATATTTATTCAACATTTTTTGTTGTGTTGAATTTTTCCTGAATACTTGATTTTTCTGCAAAAAGAAAATCATTGTGCAAATAATTCTCCTGAAAAATTGTAATTTGGACACTGCAGTTGTAATATCTATCATTGCTTTTTTGTATATTAATTTTTATCTATCTTAAAAAAATATGTTTATTCTTGTGTGTATCAATTGTTTTTCGATATTTTAGTAATAATTTTACACTTTTCGAGATAGATGTACAAGAAGAAAGCAATGAAAGATTGCTCATTTATACAAAACAAGTACATCATAGTCGGCATTCGATGATTTTCCACTAATACAAAAGATCTGTTTGGATGCAAATTTGATTTTTACTTTGCATGCTTAACGATATATAATACATATAACTATATACGTTTAAGTATATGTAAAAAATATATATATGTATATATGTGATATGTATTGTTGAACTGATTGTGATTAACAGAATATACATGTATACAAAAGATTATAAACAAAATATGCAAGAATTTTATTTAAAACGTGTATAGGCATACATTATCTTCATCGAATTTTTCTTCTCAATTACATGTTTCAGTTCCATTATTATGTAAACCAAATTATGAGAGAAAGAGAGAGAGAGAGAGAGAGAGAGAGAGAGAGAGAGAGAGATTAATTCCCTAATTATAATTTCCCTTATAAAAATTTCATATTTTTATAACGGGAATATTATATTGCTAATTAAAAGTAATAATTAAAAATGATTTTCTATAAATAACTTATGTTTTAATGCTTATGTTATGAAAATTGGATATCGTGAAAAGAAATAGATGAGTTTTTTCGAAACATTAAATCTAGAAGAAATGTTCCATGTTAATAACTGAATGAAAGTATATCATAAAGAGATAATGAATAATGTATAGTATTAAAAAGTCGAACTGAATAATATATAATGATTTTTGTTATAACTTATTCGGATATGATGTAACTTAATACGATTTTGATCACGCAAGAAAAAATTATATTATTTATCATTAGTACAATTATTCGCATAATTGATCGGACATTAAAAAAAATTGTACATATAACTAAGCTATTGGATTTTTTTTTAAGAGTGGATTTTTTGGAATATTCTAAGATGAAAATCCTAATGCGAAAATATAGAGATACAATAATTTTTAAATTAGTAGTGATTAAAGTTTTCGAATCACATTTTTTATTTATTTTGACGCACGTCGTATAGAGTATCTCGCTATTGAATTGATATTTTGTGGTATATTCCAATATTAATTATGCATATGTAATGTACAAATAGATTCTGTGTAAAAGCAGGAACAATTTTTAAGTAAAAATATCATTACATATTTGTATGATAATCTTGATGTTGCTAAGAAGGTCTTTCGTGATAATATCTTTACCACTTTTCATGGCACACCTGAGCACGCGAAATATCAGTTCTGTGAAGAATAATAATTGCTATTAATTTAAAAATTATTATAATCTCGACATTTTCGTAATAGGATTTTCATCTTAGAATATTTCAAATAGTCTTAAAACTCTTAAAAGGAAATTCAGATTTAGAGACATCGTGTATAATATACGTAAATGAACAGTTTTACAATGTAAAATTATACATAAATACACTGCAATATAATAAATTAGTTTATAAAATAAAGTCTATAACATCCTATTCTTTTGGAATTTCAGTAGTATATATAGTAGTATAAATAGTAATTTTATATTTCCAAAATATCAAAACGTCGAGGGGCTATAATGATTTTTAACCTTTTGAAGAGCAGCACGTTTTTGATGGACTTTTTTATTTTAAGGACTAGAATTTTTTTGTCAATATCATGGGGTTGAGTGGCGAAAAAAGTGGCGCCACTGTCGAGTCACTAAAAGGGCTTCCGGTCCTTCAGAGGTTAAATTATAAGCATTTAAAGTTATCAAATTACCACAGTATATACTGCTTAAAGTTCGCGTTCAGATGTGATACGACAGAAAATCCAACCGTACCTAAGCGCATGAACTTTATGCGATATAATTCAGTAACTTTAAGTGTTTATAATTCAAAAACTCTCTCTCTCTCTCTCTCTAATTTATAGCCTCGATATTTTGATTTCAAAAGAATTTTCGTCTCAAAATGATTTTAGGAATCAACCCTTAAGTGTTGAAGTACAATCTTTACTGAACACCCAGTATATATAAATAGATGTGTGTATGTATGTGTGTGTATGATAAAATTTAATAAAATTTAAAAATTACGTCTATTTCGTTCTTATATTTTACACAAAGAGTGAATAAATAAAAAAATTTGACGAATTGTCTGATACATTCAAATTATTATACAAGTAAGAAAGAATGAAATGTATATTTTAACGTTTTACTTTGTTATTATCTGACTGTGATTTAACATTAAATGAAATTTAAAAATTGCTCTCAAAGTCAACTGTATGTCGACCGCACGTGTTTTCAAAATACTTGATACAGGCGAACTCGAGACTAATATCGATATCATCGAATCGGGTAAATTCGAACATCCAAAAATTTTTTTAATTGGTGTGTATCTCGTCTTAAAATATTCAACAACAGTCGCTGCAAGCAATTTATCCAAGATTAATCAGCAACACGAATTGTGACGACTACTCGTGATATTCCAATCATTGATCGCTGCTGTACATACGTATACGAGTAGTGTATCATTATAATTTCGTACAAACAACAATAAAAATCGACGATACTTCAATCGATGACAATAAAAATCGGACTTCTGCGTTTTAATTTCAACTAGACGTAAGGAATTCGATAATTATTAGTTTGTAAGACATCTTTTAGTGATAAGAAATTTTTAGAAAGTTATACGGAGAATATAATATTTATCAGCGATTGTTTGTGACGACGAAGATAAATTTTGAATAAAGAAAGAAAAAATTTTTAATTTAAATAAGAAATCTTGGTAAGGGAGAGAGAGGGAGAGAGAGAGAGAGAGAGAGAGAGAGAGCCGAAATTTTTGTACTTTATAATGGAAATCGTATAATACAATGGAAATATAATAGAATGTTCCAAATTTGTATTATATTTATAGATCATATTATGTACATGCTTATTATATCATCTATTTATCATCATTAAATATTCTTTAGCGAGAGAGAGAAAATATGTTTTAGCTTGCCTTTTCTGATAATTACATTGATCTACGGTAACAATTTATAATTATAAAAATTATGTATTTATAATAGAAAGCAAAAATATTATATTTTGATGTAGAAAATCAAAGATTGAAAGGTACATCTAGGTTCTTCCTCTCTTCTCTAGCAGTTAATTAACTAATTAATCATGGAAGGTAAAGATGTAAGAAAACTTGTTGAAAGAAACTCTATATCTCAGTACAATTTGATTTACTTAAACCGAAGCACTTTTACATACTACTGTATATTAATATATAAAATTTATTTATTTCAATATTTCTCCAAATAAAGAAAAAATATATATATAATTATATTTTTTATTTTATAAAAAATTAAAATCAGCTAATTTTTTGTTCTTTTTAGTTTTATCTTTTAATTTTTTAAAATAATTACTTTAATAAAATTTACAAAGAATCAATTTAATAAAAGAGTAAAAATTACATTTATATTAATATTATTACATTAACACCTTCGTGTATTTTATTTTAATTTTATTATTTATTTTTTAACAATTATACATATATTGCGTTACGCAATTTGCGTATAATATTTAAAATATGTTTTATGTACATACATATGTAAGTATATATATATATATATAACATGTGCGCGCGCGCGCGCGCGTGTGTGTGTGTGTGTGTGTGTGTGTGTGCTATCGTTATATGTAAATTATTTATATACTTTAGTACATTTAAGATCTTGATCTTTACTTTTTAAATCACTTTTTCAGGTTTTTGCTCAAGATGAATCAAATTGTCTACCTTAACCTGCAGATTGTTGAGGACATAAGAGTTCTCTTATCAATACTACAGCAAAACCATGGCCAATTAAAACTTTTCTCATGTCGAGCTACGAATGAGAGCTTGCATTCCATCAATGAAGTACCAAAAATGATTATGTACTATCTGAGGGACCGACTAGAGATGTATAAAATTGAAATATTTATTGCAGATAGTGATTTCAAAATCAAGCATAACTATTTGCCAGTATTCATAACGTGTTACAATTATTTGCTATTGAATACGAATTTTTCCTCACAGTATCTTCTCAGAAAAGATACGAGATTTGGCCATGTAATCGGTATATGGCCTACTCTATCACCTTATCTCTTCATACAGGTGATTTATCAATAACAATCATATATTATCATACACAATCATATAAGCATTATTAATAATTAATAAATGATATTAACTTTCTGATTACATTATAAACATATTGAACATTGAATACTTTTCAAAACCATTTCGATTTCTTTTTTTTTTCTTAAATCAATGTGTGACGGAATGTTAGTGCATGTTTCTTCAGTGTAAGAGTATAAGAGACTCGAAGTATTATATTAATTTTCTGTGCCTTTTTTTATATCTGTGACATATCACATAAAACAATAATAAGATAACAAAAGAGAGATCTCTTTTGTTTTACTAATTAAATTCATATATAGTTTTAGAAATAATAATAATATGGTTCTTTGTTTTTCTTGGACAATCTTTATTTATATTAAATATCGATGCAAAAGATTAACACCACAATAAGAGTAATCTGTATAGTTTCTATAGCGATAAGAGAAAAATATTACCGACTAATGAAGAAGTAAAACAGCTATTATTTAATTATTTTATGTACATATATGCGCGCGCTCGTGTACATACAGGGTGTCCCACGGGAAAATGTTGAAACTAATCAGCTGTCATTTTCGAAAGTATTCAGTTATTGAGAAAACAAAAATTGCGCTGAAAAGAGGAAAGTCTGCAATTTTTAATGAGTATAAATTAAATTTAATAAAATGTTTGTATATCAATTAATTTT